CCCTATATAGGATCTGAACCCGTGGCCTTGGTGTTATCAGCACCACACTCTACCGAGTGAGTCACAGGCCAGCCTGGTATGCCTCTTTTTATATATCTTCATGTTATACTTTTTTTTTTGGACATAGAGTCCAGACCAAAATAGGTAAGCTTACGATAAGGTGGATCCTCCCTACCCCAGTCCTACTCTTTTATTGGGGATGAGGAGTAGGCATTTGCCTCCAAGTATGTGCATGCTTCTCTTCTGCCAAACCTCCTATCCCTGAGTCGTCATTAAAACTGAAATCTTATGTCCAGTTAAGTACCCCACTCTAATCACCAGTGCATCCCCATTTTCAAATCTGATTTTGGTTTTTAGTTCCTTTACCTGAGGCCATTGAGGATTTTCCTTATATTTATATGAGCTCAGTTCCACCTTTAAATGGATACTTGCTTTCCCCTGCCACCCCCCCCAACAAACACTTATAAAGTTCCAGGCATTCTTCTGAGCACTTACAAATAATAAGTCATGTAATTCACTTAACAGCTTGGGGAGCTGGTATCTTCATTTTTACAGATGACAAAACTTGAGGCACAGAGGTTAAGCTTCTTGCCCAAGATCATACACTTTATGTCTGCTTCGTGTGTGCGTGTGTGTGTATTGCATTTTTTTGACTGTGCAAGGGTATTTTTCCAGTTAAGGTCGTGTTCTAAGGATGAGTATTAAGAATAGTTGAAAATAATTGCTTGTGTTTATCTGTTTTTTTTTTTTTAACCTGAAAAGCCACTGTTTAGCTTAGCATTCATTATTTTTTACTGATTCTCTCTTACCTTTTTGGGACTCTTACTCAAGAGTGATGTGTACCATGTCAATTTGAAGTCCGTGTATAGAATGAAGTTATTAAATGAAAATTGACATTGCCGCCTCCACATTATACCTTACATCTAAATTCAGAGTATTGCAACATGGGCCAAAATACTCCATTTCTAACTGTAAACTTCACCTCTAACAGAAATGCTATGAAGGTACTTCAGAAAGTTCCTGGAAGAACAGAATCAAAAGATAATATGAATCTTTCCATGAACTTTTTGAACACCCCTCGTAAAATGTAGCAAAGACAGAAGCTCTAAGGGTTTATGGTAGTTGAGTAATCTTCCTCTCCTTGTTTGGTAGCCAGAGGTTTTACACCCCACGACCAAGCCCCATAGTAAGATCTAGAATGGGTGAGGAGTATGTCATTCTTTTATAAATGGTAGAATGTTGTTTGTGCAAGGGGAGAGGTTGGGACAGGAAAATCTTCCTGATGGCTCACCACTGTCATATTCTTACGTAGATTAATTTGAATAAAGGTTTCTTGTGCAAGACAAAGATCTGGAAATTAATTTTCATTAAAAACTGTTAATGATGTATGTTTTAGAAAGTCTGAATTACATATACTCCCTATTTCATGGATGTATGCCATATTACATAGTGTATGTCATAGAAAGTCCAAATTGCATGTACTGTAGTTTGGAGACCAGTCTTCAATGGGATACCTTTTCTCACATGTGTACTTCAACCTAATGGTAAAGGAACACTTAGGGGTTGTCTGTGTAAAAGCAGGCGTGGATGGGAGAGCATGGTGCTGATTCCCTTACCGGCCAGCTGCCAAAAAATTAAAAAATAAAAGCAAGTGTGGACAGAGGAAAAGTAGATCTGTCTGACACCTTGTGATAGAAGGTGAGCACTACAAATTCGGTTGGCTTGATTTGTAATCTAATCATATTTCTAGGGCTCTTCAGACTAAACCCTTAAAGTGCTGCTCTCCTTTCTTTTTCTTAAATATGAGAGAATCTGTCAAAAATGAACACAAAAAAATTGCATGGAAATTCTCTGCATGTTGAAAATTTCAAGCCTTTGCCTTTTAAAACCATCTGTACAGTTTTATCATTTGATACCTACATTGCTCAGGAATTTAGAGAGTCCTCTATAGCATGAGGATGATTGGCATATTCTTCATACATTGTTACTGTGAGTAAACTCAGACATAAAAGCCTTGGAAATCAAGATGGTTTGTTGTATTGTGTTAAAAGGAAAAACCTTAGACAAGTTAAATTTAGCAAAGTTTAATTGAGGAAAGAGCATTCATGAATCCAGCAGCCCTCAGAACCAAAATAGGGTCTAAGAACTCTGGTCTGCAACCTGCTTAGGCAGATTTATGGACAGAAAACAGAAGTGAGGTACAGAGACAGTTTAGTTTGTTACAGCTATGACTTTTGCCTTATTTGACTCAGTTGGCCACCTAGGAGTTGACTGAAGCTCAGTTACTGTAATTGACAGAGACTCAGATTTTTTTTTTTTTTTTTACAGGAGTATCTGTGTACTAGGTTAGGTTGCAGTTCTTTAAGTGAGAAGTCAAGTAGGGAGGCATCCTCAGGCTAAGTTTAGTTTAGTTTAACAATTGGAATTATTATTTGACATTTGAAGAGTTTATAGATGTATGCTATTCCACTGCCAAGGGTTCAACTACTATATAATGAACATAGTGTACATAATATAAAGTCAGAGTGTCAAATATTGACTCCAAGAAACCACCAGAAATGCCTGTTGATAAAGCAAAGCTTAGTTTATTAGGCCCAATACGCTAAGGAGAAAACACCCCCTTGACAAAATCTTAGTTGTGTCTCAAAGTAGGGAGATTAGGAAGTGGTGTTTATAGGATTTTAGGGCTTTGGCTGGGTCATTTTAAAGTAGGCCTTGCAAGGTAGATAGCTGGGATTGGACACAAGGAGTCCAGGGTTTAAAAACAAATCTTTTCTTTCTTTCTTTTTTTTTTTTTTTTTTAAAAAAAAAGATGACCGGTAAGGGGATCTTAACCCTTGACTTGGTGAGCTAACCAGTCATCCTTATATAGGGATCCGAACCCTTGGCCTTGCTGTTATCAGCACCATATTCTCCCAAGTGAGCCATGGGTCAGCCCTTAAAACAAATCTTAATGAGTAAACTGTTCAGTTGGTTCCCAGCCTTATATTCCAGGAATATTATCTTCTAGGTTATATCTTCCAGATAAATCCTGGAGCAAGCTGCTAAGTCATTTTTGTTTGGTCTCTGTTGTTTAACATGGGGACAAAATTTTACTTTTGGTTTCTGTTCTGAAGAGACTTGAATTAATATACATGAATTGTTGGTTTGTTTCAGCTTTGCCCGAAGTTTTTACATACAAATTCTACTAGTCACACTTGGCCGTTCAGTGCAGTTGCTGAATTAATAGGTATGTAAATTGACATTTCTTATACCATCTGTTTCTTGCAATTGTAGTTTTAAAAAATTTTTATTGAAAAATAATATACAGGGCCGGCCCGGTGGCGCACTGCTACAGTGCGCC